TGTTATTTTGATTTAAACTGGGGGTGACATATAGTAATTTTGTCGGGCAGCAAATAACAGTTTAGAAAAACTAATCATTCACCTCTAAAAACTCGTTCTCCCTTAGGACGGTATGCACCCCCACAGACCGCATGTGGCCGCAATCGGCAAGATAATCACACACTTATTATGTGTGAAATCTGGCCACAATGGCCGAGTGGCGATGTGTAGCATTGTCCTGGCTCGTCAGCATCTGCACTGCGCACCGCGAATCCACTACTTGTATTCGACGATATCTGAGGTTCCAAGCCACCTGTAAACCTTCAACAACACCTGTCAACTCTTCCTAGGTTATGGAACAAAAATCTACGTTACAAGCGTACGCTGCAATGCAACGTCCTGTGTGATCTCGTATCAAGCCGCCAGTTTCAGCATGACTTATATCAAGAAGAACGGAATCGTCTGAGTTGAGAGTGACCCACTCAAGAGGTGACGGTTTCAAAGAGATCTCGACCTCCGTTCTGATGGGCAAAAAACGCTTAAGAACGAACCTATCCTTCTCCAGAGCCGTCTGCACTACATTAATCTAGTCCTGGAGACACTGTATGAAGGACTCCGTGGTGGTGGTCTCGTTTCTAAAGACCCTGTCGTTCGTGGTCTTCCAAAGAGACCAGCATGTGAGGCCAAATCTTAGGCCGTAATCCTGGTGGTGCAAGTATTTCAAGAGCAATTCCAGAATGGGAAAACCAAAAAAATTTCGGTGATCAGAGAGCTTGATGCAGAAGTGCACAAACTACAGCCGTTGTTGTTGGAGATGTGTCGCCTGCTCCGCTCTGCATTTGTCATTAGTCTCTCCCACGCCGCTAGCCAAATTAAGTGTGGCGTCTGTGCCAATTCGTGCCAGCTCCAAATCTTCCTCCAGCCAAGCCGATCATCCCTCTGTCCACATGCAATAGTGTACGCTGACTTGATTTTAAACTACCCATTGGGTTCGGTTCCCCGATACGCATAATCTTCTCCTGCATCTTCTAATGGGGGTTCGCTGGCCATAATCTGCAGGACAACCTCACTAAGTAAGTACCTTGCTCCCTGACGAAAGCCGCGACTGGAACAGCAGGGTCCATCGGCGGTGCGTCTTCTTTGACATGATCCATGAGGATGGTATCCTCATAGATCCAATGATAAGTCCAGAACGTTGTGGTCTTACCGTTCTTGACACACATACTACTGCCCGCTACAATCACTAGCCACCTTTCCTGATCCCTCGCTAGAGAGTGGAGCACCGACGCATCAGCTTGCTAGTCAGGAGTCCTCCAACAGTCTTGAAATACTTTTCCTGTAGCACCTTCACCCACAAGTCATCCTGGTTTTTCATAAATAGCCAAGCAAGTTTAGCTAGAAAAGCAATATGTAATTTATGAGTTTTCTTTAGGCTTGCATATTGCTTCCCAATGAACCAAATGTGCTTTCCTCCTCTCCGCAGTGGAGCCCCGAATGAAACGTGACTTCTTTTTTCAATCTTGTCACATATAAATTGGGTCAATAGTGTTGTTTGCACGCCATACGCAAGGAGAGTGTTGAGAATCGAAGTTGCCAATGTCACACACCCCGCAAAACACAGCGAGTCCGCTCTCCATCCCGCTAGTTTTTTGTCCAGTTGCTCCAATATGTACTCGTATGTCTCCTTAGTAACACGGCCATGAATAACTGGCACACCAAAGTAATGGCAGTAACGCCCCATATCCTGAATAGTCGGTATGCCAAGGCTTCTAACAATGTCGCTACTGGTCACTCCATCTGTGTTGCCAGAGAAGAATACCACAGATTTCTCTTTTCTCACCATCTCCCCCAATGCAAGACAGAATTTTTCCAGACGGTATAGAATAACTTCGCCCTGCATGACCGATTCTTCTGCAAAAAGTATCAAATCATCAACGAAAAGGCGAGAGAGTAGCGGGCCACCTGGAGAGGTCTTCATCGGCTTTCACTGCCCTTCAAGGACGGGTTTCTCAATAACATGACTGAGGCTCTCTACGCAGTGTGAAGCAGCAAGGGTAGGTGGTCTTACCCAATACGCTCCAAATGCTTCACTCCAGAATGGGAGAAGGTAAGGAGCCAGTGGTAATTGCAAAGTAGTCAATCCAGCCTTTGATACAGTGTGCCACGTTGCCACGTGAATTGGGGGCTCGAGAACTTAATTTCCAATAGTCAGGCATAATCAACACAGTCCCGGAACGGCCGAGACCTAGCTTCGTTATAAATTGCTCCACCCACCTTTTCTGGCAGTCCAAAGATTGCGTTGAATCCCCTATTAAGCACCATGGGTGGGTCACAGAATCGGCCAACCTGATAATTTCGTGCCATAGGTCTCGTCTATCAGCTGCGTTTGGGCTTCCATAGACTCGTTGATAGACCATTGATTGCACATGTTTTTACCCCTATTCTTGAGCCGTTTGAGATGTTGATTCTCGTGTTTTAAGTCGATTTTACGCTAGGTTGTGTGTTTATGTCATATTTCAGGGCTTGGCATTGGCATGGAGGCGAAGAAACGAGTTTCGGGTCGAAAGGAGCACGTTTCAGTTGAAGTGTGATGGAGGAGCAAAATACCTGGCTGGGTATTAATCTGAGCAGACCGGGGAAAATCACTTTTGGGCGGTTGAGAAGCAGAAGGGGGCCCGGGCATTGAGCATAAATCCCCGGTCCGGGTACTATGACCGGGGATCGCGAACGCAGGCTGTTAAAAGCCTATTTTGTGCGTTTTTGCAAGGGAGAGCTGGGTTTTGGATTCCAAACATCCAAGGGACAAACCAAAGAGAGAGAAGGCGATTTGAGGGAAATCTTGGAGTGGAATTGGAGGATTTCTTCCCCTTGGAAGCTCGAGGAACAAGCTCGGACTTGAAGACTTAACATCTGAAGATTCTTACTACAGTCTCCCTCTTCTCTATGGAGTAACTTCCCTTCACTTAGGTTTTGAGGAACCCTAGCTATGTTTGTTTGATTGGATGATTGTATGAGTACTCTTACTTGATAATCTTGAGTTCATATTCAATCTATTCATGTTTTCACGATTCAATTCTGTTTTTGTCGAGATTATTGATTCTGCTTTGATCATATGAGAGCGAATACCTAATTAGGTCAATAGAGCACCATAGATTGATAATATTGGATCAATTGCTTTAGTCGAGGGTTGATTCGCTGCTTTGTATCGATTGAGAACCTCTTTCGATAGAGGGAGTCTAGTTCAGAACGCCTTGATCGGTTGTTCTAGAGAAGGATGTGTCCCTCTAGGCAATTGACTCAAGAGGGCCTTGATCCTTTAGTCGAGATTCAAGGTTTAGTCAAGGATTCTCCACATTGTGAATGAAAATGAAACAAGTTAGAGATCATTAATCATTAATCTGGCTAGTGGCTAGGGGGAATCATACCTAAGTGAGTTCCCAACATGTAATTAGATTAACTTTAACTGTAGTTTGCTAGAGTAGTTTTAGTTCTTCCATCTTAATCTGGATTGCTAGATAATGAACTGAAGCTGAGTAAAAGTAACTCTAGAGACCCGTGGATTCGATGTTTATTACTTCAGCCACTATACTGCAGTCCCTTTCATTGGATACACTTGGCCATTTTTAGGAGTTGTGTCATAGCGAGTCACTCGTCGTGATGTGTCGCCACTGATCTGAGGTTCCACGATAATAACCATATCCGGTTTGTGAGTCCCTACAAAAGTAGACAAGTACTCCGTAAACAAATCACCACCTACCTCTTTGCAGTTCCACGGTAATATATTCAGCATACTAATAAATAAAAAAGCCAAAAAAAAAAACACCAAAGAAGAAGCACGGAAAGGGTACTTCTCTACAAGTCGGTGGGACCGACAAAGAGTTCAGCTGAGACCAGGTGGAGCGTGTTGTAGCCCACCCATTCAAATTCGCCGTCTTGGCATTCTTAACGATTTCGTTCTGTGTAGTAGGGGTAGTGGTACCCGGTGGCTGTCCTGTGTGTGTGAGTGGGCGAACCCCCTTTCCACCCTTCGCAGCCAAAGAACTTTAGTGATCCAAATTCTCCTTGGGATAGATACTCTTTTCTATGTTATTGGCTTTGAAGCTGCATTTGTTGGGGTTGCCAGGGTTTGTTTTCGTCCATGTAGCTCATCTACTCGGGCTTCCCGAGCAGGCACGTTCACCCTCTGTGACGGTTCCCTAACAAGATTAGTTGGAGGTAGCACATTTTTCTACCCACCAACAGAAGGGGTAGAGGTCTGGGCCGGTGCTTTGGTCACTCTTTCTGAGGATTTCGTATCAGGTGCAGGTGATGGTTCACGCCTGGTCTCTGTTTGCTCACTAGCCGTTCAGCGTCTTTCTTCTTTATGAATTCAGGGGGAAAACTCGGGAGTTTCGCCCAGACCATGATGGAGGCCACCTCAGCCATTTTGGCGTTAAAATTTTGGCTCCAAGGGCGCATTGTGAGGTAGTATTCCCCAATCTTTCATGGTCCTCCTACCGTTGCTTGTTCATAGTCCATCTGGCTCGTGAATCTCACAACATAGAATTCATAGGTCAGGCTAGAGACCTGCAGCATGCCACACTTTGTCAAATACTCGTTTTAGTGAACAGATCAATAATAAACAGAGGTAAAGAAATAGCACAATTATTTAGTAGTGAATTTTATTGTAATGTGCATTGACTTCCGTTAATTAATAGTAGTGTTTCGTATTATTATAGTTGTTGATGTGACTTGAATCGGACTATCAGCCGCTACGACTGGTAATCGGGGGTCTCGCTATAGTGAAACTTGCTCTCTCTCGCCCGTGGATGTAGCTAACACACATTGTGTTAGTGAACCACGTAAATCGCGTGTCTGTGTTTTTCGATTCTCGCTTTCGTATTCTTTTTTTTTTTATAAAGATGAAATAGTATTAATAAATAGAGATTAAAGCCTGACAACCAGAAGGAAAAGAAACAAAGGAGAAAAACTCGGATGCAGCCACCAACTGCTGCAGCAGAACCAAAGAAACCAGTTCGAAAATGCAAAAAAACAGAGCATTACTGCTGCAGCAGAAACGGACCCGGCCGAGGAAGCAGCCTATTCCTGACTATCTGAAGCCACAAATCAGCGGCACTTCTATCAGCCTTGTTGCCCGCACAAAGCCAGTCCGAGACACATCTAGCAATCAAGAAAGACACCATGCGCGGCGAAGCGGACAAGTCTTTGAAAATTCTTCTGTTGCGCTCGAGCCAGATACGCCAGCAGAAAGCATGCAAAAAGACTCTGGATCACCAGCTGGAAGCACTTTGAGACGAGTCTCGAGCCCACAACTTAATCACCGACGAAATGTCCTAGGTGGGGATGTTGATGCTAACCAAAGCCTTCATCATAAACCAGACCTCGCGACTGAAAGGGCAGGAAATGAAGAGGTGGTCTATGGTTTCTTCAAAGCAGCCGCACAAAGCACAGCGATTCGGGAAAGACCATCCTTTTTTCTTCAGCACATCTTGGGTGAGGATTTTTCGGTAATAGACAGTCCAAATGAAGGAGCAGACATTAGGCGGAATGACAGGACACCAAACGATCTTGAAGGGGAAGTCACGGTCCGCAAGGTTGCTTCCCTTGACCAGCTCCGAATAATAAGAGTGGGAGCTGAACCCATTATTCTGCTTGAGCTCCCAAACAATTTTAGAGGGACCTGCAGCAAGACTCGAGAATGATACGTTATTAAGTAATTTCAACAGACTGACTCTCTCAACCTTAGCCCCTCCCCTAAGAGAATGAGAAATAGGAATAGACAAAGAAGAACTTCCCTCACTCAAGATCCACAGGTCAGCAATGCGGCAATTTGGTGAAGCGGCAATGGCGGCCACTCGGGGGAACTCCAGGGCCAAGGGCTGGGATCGATCACTAAGCCAAATATCAAACCAAAAAAAAGACGTGTCATGACCAGATCCCGGATCAATGTGGCTGAACTTCGAGAACTGAGAACCCGGTTTCAAGATGACTGCCCAAGGGCTGCAGCCGATGCGACCTCTAAGAGATCCAGCGGACCAATGGGAAAAAGGGATTCGGAAAATTTTGGGCGATCAACTGCCTCCACCACACATTTCTTTCCAAGGCGTACCTCCACCACCATTTAATAAGCAGGGCCTGATTTCTAATTCCCAGGTCTGTGATGCCCAAACCACCAAGCTGCTTGGGAAGTTTACACTTGTCCCAGGACACGAGGTGAAACTTCTTGTCTTCTCCCATCCCTGACCAAATAAACGACCTGAGGAGACGCTCAATACTGCTGATGACAGACGGAGGGGCTTTGAACAAGCTGAACATGTAGTTAGGCTGAGCTGCGAGCACCGAGTTACAGAGCACGACCCTTCGCGCCATAGACAGGCGCTTCCCTTTCCAGCCCGCCAAACGAATCTGCACTTTATCAATGACTTTATTCCAAATGTAAGAGGCAGTCGGGGCTGCACCAAGAGGAAGGCCAAGGTAGTCCGTGTGAAGAAGCTTCCAATCACAGCTCAGAATCTCCGCGAGACGATCAATGTTGTCAACATCTCCGACAGGAAAAAGGAAGTTTTCCCCAAAGTTCACCTTCAACCCTGTTACACATTGAAACCAAATAAGGGCACCAGCAAGATGAGTCACAGCATCTTCCGTCGCATCACAGAAGACGATAGCGTCGTCGGCATACAGAAGATGATTCACGCCATCAGTCCTGATCGCGTCGTCGACGTAGAACCCCTCAATGAGCCCAGAGTCGTGAGATACTTGAAAGATGAAAGAAAATATGTCCATGACCAGGCTGAAGAGAAAAGGGGAGAGAGAGTCTCCCTATTTTAAACCTTTCTGCATATTGAAATAGCCACCAGCTTCACCGCTAACCAGGACAGAAAGCTTCGAGTGACAGACAACCCCTTTAATCCATTTACAGAAGCGCTGGCCGAGACCCAGATTGGAGAGGGCTTTAAAGAGACAATTCCAATTAACCGAGTCGAAAGCCTTCTCAATGTAGAGCTTGAAAATAATCCCCGAGCGTCCACTTCTCAGTCTACTATCCACCAATTCATTAGCTACAAGGGCAACTTCATGGATTTGCCTGTTACGGAGTCCCGAGAACTAATGACGTGAGATGATCCGATTCATAAAAGGCTGAAGACGATGGAACAAGACTTTGGAGATGATTTTGTTCAAGCTCCCAATCAAACTAATGGGGCGATAATCACACACATCCTCAGCCGCCGTCTTTTTTGGGATGAGACAGATGAAGGAATGAGCCACAGAGTCGGGGACAAAACTCGTAATAAAGAATTCGTCCAGCGCCTTACAAATTTCGTATTTCACCACATGCCAAGCTTTCTGGAAGAATTGCAACGAGAAACCATCCGGCCCCGGGGCTTTATCCCCCCCACACGAGCGAACAGCTCTCCAAATCTCATCTTCCAAAAAGGGGCAGGTGAGTAGGAGGTTGTCCTAATCAGAGAGGATATTCTGTTTGAAATCAGCGGGGAAGGGCCTAATGGGAGTCTCTTCAGAGAACCTATCCTGAAAATGATTTATGAAAACAAGCTTGATGCCCTCTTTATCAGTAATAACCTCCTCACCCATTTTCAAAGACTGAATTGTATTTCTCCAGCGATTATTGCTGGCAGCACGATGAAAATAACCCGAGTTCTTATCCCCAACCTTAAGCCACAACTCACGGGACTTCTGACGCCAGGAGATTTCCTCCATAAGGAGGATTTTATCCAGGTCACATCTCCACAAACTCCTCGCAATAACCTGAGAATCAGATAAAGGCCCGGACTCTTCAAAGATATCGATCTCATTGATCTTGTTAATGAGCGATTCGATCTTAACCTGGATTTTGCCAAACACTTCAGTATTCCAATTCTTAATGTGGAGCTTGCTTTGCCTTAGGCGGCGACTAGCGAGGAAGAGGAGCCCCGAGCCAGTAATTGGGATATTCCACCACCCAACGAGCTGCGTCAAGAAAGAATCCTCGAGAAGCCACATATTCTCAAACCGCCAAGGTCTTCGGACACGGTCAGACGAGCCCCAATGAACACGGATGGGGTTATGATCAGATTCAAGGCGCTCAAAAGCCAGGAGGGGACCCGGAGAGAAGGAATCCTCAAAGGAATAGTTCACCAGCGCTCTATCGATACGAGAAAGACAAGGCGTGAGGCCCCCACTGCTTCGTGTAAAGCCAGCCCCTTGAAGAGGGAGATCAATCAAACCATTGCGATTAATTACTGAGTTGAATTCCTCCATCATTCCTCTACACCTGGGAGCACCCCTATAATCATCCTCATATCTCACCAAATTAAAATCACCCATCAAACACAGGGGTTCACTATATCTGCGACAAATAAAATCGATCTCGGACAGGAAGGTCATCTTGGCGGACCTATCATGAGGGCCATAGACAAAGACAATGGCGAGGATCTTCTGAGATCGGACAACCTTGAGGCGGATGGCCAAAGGGAAACTGTCTTCCCAGTAATCCAACAAACTAAACTCAGATGGTTCACAATAGGCAACAATACCACCCTTGAATCAAGAGCGTTCTTTGCAACCCATTCCACCGTTGTACTGCAACTGACCGATGTAATAAGGAATTGGGAGCAATCGTTCCACTTGGTTTCAATCAAGCCCACCACTGCAGATTTACACCTACGAATAATCGGCTTAATTCTAGATCTCTTGTCAGAGTCTCCCAAACCCCTGACGTTCCACGCAAGGATAGAGTCATTCATTGGGACAAAAACGAGGTGAATCCACATCTATTACTGCCACCCGGACCCCTTTTCCGTCGCGGCTCATTTAGGAACAAATTCACTGGTCCAAGGCGGCGAATCTCCATTTGCAACTTTGATCTAGTCGCCCGCCTTTTCTTCGATTTAAACGAGAAAGCCAGTTCCTCAAACTGATCCTCAACTTCCTCGCTGCTGACCTCTGAGGAAAAATTTAAAAGCCGGCGGAGAGTCAAGCCAGCGGCAATAATCGAGCGCAGATCCAAATCCGCTTGCCAATCCTTGAGGTAAGCATCATTCATAGGCTGGAAGGGAACCCGGGCCAACGGGTTAGGGTCATTGAAATGGGTAAGATCTCCAGAGAGGTCACGGTAGGGCTCGGGGGAGTCGGGGGTTGGAGGGGGGGGGGGAGAAGGAAAGGGGTGGAGAAGAGGGGGAGGAGGGTGGGAGGAGGGATGGGGGGGTTGAAGGGGAAAGAGGAGAGGGGGTTGCACCGAGAGCAGGGGAAAAAAGAAGACGACCGGCTGAAGCGAAATCAGATAAGATGATGAGATCAGGTCCGAGGTGAAGACAAAGGCTGGGTAAGGATCGGCTAGGGGAAGGCGCAAAGTCAAGGATGAGAGAGGGAAAGGGTGTATGGGCTCTAACTGGAGGTACATGGATTGAAGAGGGGAGGGCAAGGATGGGCTCAATCAGGGGGGAGGAATGGGGCAGTTTAGGTCTAAGATGGGGTGGGAGCCAAATGGGGCTAGCTTTGCGAACCCATATTCGATTGGGATGGGCCCGGGACTTATTGGGCCGACTTGGGAGACTGGGGGAGGAGATAGGACTTGGCAAAGCGCCGACACTAGAGTAATCAATCGGGGTGACTGGGAAGGGTTCCCGAGACACGTGCATGGGAGTTGATGCCCGCACTAATGATGGTATTGCATGGAAGACCAAGAGGCGTCGCCGCCAGCGAAACAATTTGAATTGGAAATTCCAGGCCATCAAAACGAAGAGGAATTACGTCAGGGATGGCGGTCGTCTTCTTTATCCTGGTCCTTACGAAGGGAAGGAACCAAGAATCCCAGTCTAAGTCCACAAAGACCCCGCAGAATTTTCCGATTGCAACAAGAAGATCCACGCTTTTCAGGTGGAGGGGAATATCAAGCGCTACGATCCAAGACTCATCGCCGCAGACCGACATCTCACCATCCTTCCAAAGCGAGCAGGAGCTTAAGAATTCTCTGAACTTTAGGATATTTATTTTTTTGATGCGCAAAGCATCAGCAATGCTGGGGAAGATGAGAAGCCACCTCCCGTCCAAGCAGTCTTCCAACACGAAGTTCTCATCAATGGCCCAAAATCTGATGGCCCACCTTCTGAAAGAGGGAACCCAGTCTTTGTTGAAGCTTATACCAGACTTTGACGAATAGGAGAGGACGAGACATCTGTCGAGAAGCTTGTTACGGGCATCAACGCCCTCTTGGCTCACCTCGATGAACCTATGGACTCCCTTGCCCATGATAGAGCATCGCCCGGAACCATAGAAACCACCGTACCGAACCGCGTCGGCATAACTTTTAGATGCAACAGGATGATGAAGGGGAGGTGGTGGAATGTCCACAGGAACATCAATAGACGAGGAGCGGATGCGACTTTGCAGATCAGCCGCGTAGAAATCTTGCAGGAGGTGGATCAAATTCGCCCAACCAAAGCCAGGACCAGAAGCAGGAATGATGACCTTGAAAATCCGGTTTCTATTAGTAAGCTCCGAGATTTGGATAAACCAACTGCGAAGATTCAAAATTCTTCCGACATGAATAGAACGTCCGCCACTCTTCAAGACTCACTGAGTCGGGAAACACCAGTCTCTTCTAGAAGCCGTTTGGAGAGCCCATTGAAGCCAGGAGATCTGCTTTTCATCAGGAATATGAACCAAATTTTGCCTCTGCCTTCCACCTGCATCCTGAAAATGCTATCACTGGAAAAATACAGTCTACTGATTGAGACTCGCTTTTGTATTCTTGCTTTATCGATTCCGGCGATTTCCTGATCCGTAGCAGCGCGTTTATAACAAGTGGTATCAGAGCCGCGGCTGGAAATCAGGTTAGGGTTTTCAATTCAGAAGAATGACATCGGTGAACATGAAGATCGAAAAGTTCACGAGGAAGAACAGCTTTGCTATATGGCAGATCAGGATGCAGGCTTTATTAAAACAGCAAGGGTTGTGGGGGCCGCTGTCTTCGAAAAAGAAGAAGGCAGCGATCGATGACGATGAGTGGAATACCCTGGAGGAGAAGGCCCACTCGACCATCATGCTATCGTTGTCTGATGACGTCATCATTGAAGTCGATGCTGAGAAGACTGCCGCGAGCTTATGGTTAAAGTTGGAGAGTCTGTATATGACGAAGTCCTTAACCAACAAGCTGCATCTCAAGCAACGGTTGTTCAGCTTGAGGATGCAAGAAGGTACGCCTTTGAGGGAACATCTCGAACAGCTTAACTCTATTTTGCTGGATCTGCGTAATATCGATGTTCAAGTTGATGACGAGGATGCTGCCCTAATCCTGTTGGTTTCTTTGCCGAGTTCATATGAGAATTTCGTTGACTCTTTTATTGCTGGTAAAGAAAGCGTGTCGTTGGAAGATGTCAGGTCTGCTCTTCATACGAGAGATATTAGACATAAGGCGTCTGGATCTGGTATAGGGGGTGAGGCATCGGGTTTGGCTGTTATAGGTGGAAAGGGAAAGAAGAATTCTGGTAAAGGGAATTCGAACAAGAATTCCAATGGTCCCGGTCCACAGCCAGGTGATGCTTGTCACAACTGTAAGGAAGTGGGGCATTGGAAGTACAACTGTCCCAAGAGAAGAGGGCAACAGAAGAAATAAGGTTCAGTTGTCGTGGCAGAAGTGGACAATAGTTCTGAAGACGACCTCGCCTTGGCTGTAGAGGAGAAGGCACATCGTGGGGATGTGTGGTTTCTGGATACTGCAGCCTCATACCATATCTCTCCGAACAGGGATTGCTCCAGAACCTACGAGCAGATAGATGGTGGTAACGTGGTCATGGCTAATGGAGGTGTCTGCAAGGTTGTTGGAATCGGGTCCATAAAGTTTTGGACACATGATGGTTCGTTCTGTACCGTGAATGATGTCAGGCATGTTCCACGAATGACAAAGAACCTGATCTCCTTGAGTCTACTCGACAGCAAGGGTTTCAGTTTCAAAGGAAAAGGTGGAGTTGTGTATGTCTGCAAAGGTTCAAGGAAGGTGCTGAAGGGCGTGAAGCGTGGGACCTTATATGCATTACAAGGGTCTGTGTTGTCTGGTTCTGCTGTAGTTGCATCGTCTCAGGTTCATCAGGAAGATATGACCACTCTCTGGCACATGAGACTGGGGCATATGAGTGAACGGGGGATGCAAGTTCTTTCGAAGAGAAATCTTCTTTTGCGGGCACAAGATGTAGAATTTGGAATTCTGCGAGCATTGTGTGTTTGGGAAGCTACATCGCAGCAAGTTTCCCAAGAAGGGTATCCACCGGATGAAGGGGATACTAGATTACCTCCACTTTGACTGTTGGGGTCCTTCACGAGTTGAATCCATTGGAGACAGCAATTATTTTCTGTCTATTATTGATGATTATTCGAGATTTACTTGGATTTTCATGATGAAGCAGAAAAGTGAGGCTTTCACGAAGTTCAAGCAGTGGAAGACATTGGTGGAGAATTAGACCGGGAAGAAGATCAAGAAGCTGCGAACGGACAATGGTTTGGAGTTCTGTAATTCTGAGTTCAACGAATTCTGTAATTCTGTGAGAGATACACCCCAGCAGAATGGCGTTGCAGAAAGGATGAACCAGACGTTGTTGGAGAGAGCACGGTGCATGCTCTCTAATGCCGGACTAGAGAGAAGATTCTGGGCAGAAGCAGTGAACATGGCGTGCTTCCTGATCAACCGTGGACCTCACATAGGTATCGAGTTGAAGACTCCTTATGAGGTGTGGTATGGTAAGCCTGCTGATTACTCCTCACTGAAAGTTTTTGGGTGTCCTGTTTATTATCATGTGGATGAGGGTAAACTGAACCCAAGGGCAAAGAAGGGTGTATTTGTGGGTTACAGAGATGGAGTTAAGGAATTTCGAGTATGGTCACCTTCTGAGCATCGAGTTATACTCAGTAGAAATGTGATAATTGATGAGAAGTCTATGTTTAACCCCATGTTGAAGGTTACTGTTGTTGAAGGTAACAGGAATGTTGATAAGCAGTTGGAGCTGCAAACTCTCAATGAGAGTGAGTTTGAGCACCAAGGTGGAGAAGATCAACATGAGGATGTTTCTACTGAGCCAGAAACTTCAAATTCCAGTGCAGGAGCTCAACAGTCTATAGCTTCCGGTAGACCAAAGAGAGCGACCGTAGGAGTACCTCCTGAGAGGTATGGTTTCGAGGACATGGTGGCGTATTCATTTCAGGATGCTGAAGAAGTGGATGCAGGTGAGCCACAGTCCTATAGAGAAGCCGTTTCGGGTGGTGAAGCTGATCAGTGGCTTGCCGCAATGGGAGATGAGATGGAATCCCATGACAGGAATCAGACTTGGGAGCTAATCAAACGACCACAGGGAAGGAAGATTGTTACAAACAAGTGGATATAAAAGAAGAAGGAAGGAATCACTTCTAAAGAGGGCATGAAATTTAAAGCTTGGGAGGTTGCACGAGGCTTCTCACAAAGGGAAGGAGTTGACTACAATGAGATTTTCTCACCAGTGGTCAGACATACTTCGATCAAAGTGTTACTAGAAATAGTGGCACATTATGACTTGGAGCTCGAGCAGCTAGACGTGAAGACAACTTTCCTACATGGAGAGTTGGAGGAAGAAATTTACATGACTCACCCCGAAGGATTCGAGGTTCCGGAAAAAGAAAACTATGGTTGTAAGCTGAAGAAGTCCTTGTATGGACTTAAGCAGTCTCCGAGACAGTGGTACAAGAGATTTGACAGTTACATGCTTGAGCTGGGCTATAGCAGAAGTCCATATGATTGTTGTGTGTATCACAACAAGGTGGAGGATGGTTCGATGATCTATCTTTTTCTGTATGTGGATGATATGCTCATTGCTACGAGGTCAAAGTCTGATATCCAGAAGTTAAAGAGGCTTCTCAGTGCTGAGTTTGAGACGAAGAAGAAGCTTTTCTTGTCACAAAAGAGCTACATCCATAAGATACTGTCGAGGTTTGGCATGTCTTCAGCAAAGCCCTTAAATACTCCCAGTGCTTCAAATGTTCATCTATCCTTAGCTTATGCACCGCAGTCAGAGGCTGAGAAGGAGTACATGTCGAGAGTCTCATATGCTAGTGCAGTAGGTAGCTTGATGTACGCTATGGTATGCACTAGACCTGATCTTGCACATGCTGTTAGTGTTGTCAGCAGGTTTATGATACAACCTGGGAAGGAGCATTGACAGGCTGTGAAGAGGATCTTCCTGTACCTTAAGGGTACACCTGATGTGGGGATTAGCTTCGGAAGTGATACAGAGTGCTTGGTGTCTGGGTATTCTGACTCGGACTATGCTGGAGATGTTGAAACGAGGAGGTCGATGACTGGTTATGTATTCACTCTTGGGAGTTCTGTAGTGAGCTGGAAGGCAACTTTGCAGTCGGCGGTGACATTGTCTACTACTGAGGCAGAGTATATGGCTTTGACAGAAGCTGCTAAGGAGCGAATATGGTTGAAGGGACTGGTTGGTGATCTGGGTCTACATCATGATCAGGCAGTGGTGTATTGCGAAAGTTTGAGTGCAATATGCTTGGCCAATGATCAAGTCCACCATGAGAGGACTAAGCACATCGACGTGAGGTATCATTTCTTGAGGACAGAGAAGAGGATTAAGGTGAAGAAGGTTGGCACCGTGGATGATCCTGTTGATATGTTCACGAAGCCGGTTCCACATGGCAAGTTCCAACACTGCTTGGACTTGCTGAATGTCTTGAGTGGGTGACTCCGCCCTGCGGGGCATTGATGGCGGGAGAGAGAGAGAAGGAGCAGAGTACATCAGAGATTTCAGAGGAAGAGCATTCAAGTCAAGGTGGAGATTTGTTGATGTGACTTGAATCGGACTATCAGCCGCTACGACTGGTAATCGGGGGTCTCGCTGTTATTTGGGCTCGATGTTATTTGGGTTCGGGTTCTGGGCCTGGTCTGTAACCGTTTCCTTTGCCATATTGGATTAGGTTTAGACCTACAATGAGAAGTACTATAAATACTTCTCATACTCCTCTATAATCTGTAATCTCCTCTATAATCTGTAATCTCCTCGATATAGTGAAACTTGCTCTCTCTCGCCCGTGGACGTATCTAACACACATTGTGTTAGTGAACCACGTAAATCGTGTGTCTGTGTTTTTCGATTCTCGCTTTCGTATTCTTGCTTTATCGATTTCGGCAATTTTCCTGATCCGTAGCAGCGCGTTTATAACAATAGTTAATTGTATAATTTCATATGGATTATCTTTTCAATAAATTCCCATCATTGTTCTTACTAAAATGCATCAATCACTACTAATTAAAAATTAAAACCAAAGGTAAGATAGTCTAACTGTAAAACTGCCGTGACAGTGATGGTTTGGGAGTTGCAGATCTCAGGTTCAAATTCAAGCGAGACCCGTTGGTGTTCCCGAAAGTATAAGGCTGCTGGGACCAAAGCCCCGTTGGCGTCGAAATTGAATGCAGGTGGCCCCCAGGTTTAGTAGGACTAGGGATGGCAATTTTGACCTGACCCGTTTTACCCGACCTGTTTGCCCTATTTTGGGGCGGGGCGGGCATGGGTACACTCATCGACCCGACCTGCCCTGACCAGCCCAATTCCAAATCATGCCTGTCGAACACTCCTCTTGGAGGCGTCGAAGCATTCGTCTTAATCCGGGTTGAATCAAAGTCGTTCGAACTCGAAGGTCAAATCTTGGTTGAAGCTTGAAGGTCGAATCGAACTCAGGGGTCGTTGCCATCGGGAAAGAGTTTGACTGTTTGAGGAAGAAGATGACGAGCAGCTTCCAGAATACCCTGTCAGTCGTGCGTGGTGAGACAACAACAGGAAAGAGTTTGACGCCTCCACTAATTTTTGGGAACGAAGATGAAGGAAGAAGGGCAAAATTGTATTTTGCATTTTCTCATTAAAACTCAGGCTTATAAACAAACAAGTGATTTATTAATATTCCTCAAATAAAAAATCTAGGTTTTTTAAATGAGAGATTTTAACTCAAATCCCTCAATATTACATTCCTTAATCCAAACTACCCCGATATAAACTATGGAAGCGGAAGAAGAACAAAGTTAATATATCAGACTCACGGTCGATGTAATTTTGCAGTGTATAATTAATTCAATTATTCTATGAAAAAATATTAAATTTGAGTTTAAATACACATTTAAAAATTAATGGTAGTGGTGATGCATGGTGCACAGATTTGGCAATATGCGTCTAAATTGCTCTCGACAGTTTCACAACAATCACTTTTTTGTGAAAAATATTGATAAATTCGAGGGTGTAGGGCGAATTTGAATGTCGGACGAAGAAGATACATAGGTTGGAGACATTTTGTATAAGACAGCGAGTAAGAATGGCGGGTACCTGAAACAAGTCATTGTTGTCAATTAAACCTGTCAACTCACATGTGAAGCTCGATCCTCGTTTTGATAGTTTCTATAAAAGACAACGGGTTATTCAAGTAAACCCAGAAAATCGCTATTTTTGGTTTGTTTCATGATTAAGTACCTTTTTGGGTCTACATTAGAGAAAATCACCACATATTCGAATTTTGAAGTTCCCTAATCGCAAAGAAGCATAGAAAACTAAATTATTTTAGACATGTATTGTGATACAATTAACATGAGTTTCTTTGAAATGGTATACATATAGTTATCTTCAACATAAACGTCCAAGATAAGGGGTGTAATATAAATGGATAATCCGGAGAAAATAAAGTAGAATATAACTAAATCTGTAGTTTGTCGGAAAACTAGCCACTTGTTTCTTACATTTTGCGTATACAATATATACTATCATCGAACATATACAAGTACTTCGAAATAATTTTAGTGCTTAGCAACCTTGTAGATGTTGTTGATCGATTTTTTTTCTCGAAATACATTGAACTTTTGGATGTGGCTCTAATAGGAGGTAGTGATTTGTGTGATGCTGCGGTAAAAACATAAGAATAAAGTAATGTTAGATCAATGTTCATGAATATAATTTACTAAATATTTTCAAACGTTATTGCAATTTTAGAGAGTTTATGTTAGGTAGTGATTCTGCTTACTTGTCACATTTCATATCCTTTGAAAGAGGGAAAGGAACCGTAACGTTGCATAGATTTGGAATCGCTTTCATATATTTGCAGTTGCTACGAGATTTTGGAGACCGGTGCAGCACTTAGGGTCGATTGTGGGCTTGTCGCCTTCGGCGTATGGAAGGCATGGCATCGCATTAAGTTCGACAATGCTGCAAGTGATTGATGTGGGGCTTCTACTGTCTGCGAGATACATGAAAAGGGAAGCGGAGATAGCAACGATGAGGAAGTTTGGGAAGATGATCATCACGCTGTTCTTCATCGTTTGTTGTTGGGGATAAGGGTATATCTTGGTGTAGAGGTGGAGTTAATAGGAGTATGCAAATGCTTTCTTTGCGCTGTGATGGAAGAGTGTGAGTGGAGTTTTGCTATATATATAGTCTTACCGGGTTTGTCTTCTTTGTCATTTGAGTAATAGAGGTCAAGAAATCTGCAGAAACAAGCATCATAATGTCTAAAGCAAAAGAATGTGAAAGGTGCCTAGCTTGAATTTCAAGAAATGGAATTTCAGCTACCAGCTACTAGTCCTGATCACGACCACCGGCCACCTGTGGCAACTTTGCCGAATGGACCGTTACTTTATACTGGAACTCATGATATCGTCACTTTGTTTATTCCCAAATCGAAACTCATGTTTGATTTCTACCTAATAGAGGACAAAAAAATTGTCAGTGGCGGAGTCTAATTTTGATCTAGCTTTTGGAACCAAAGATATCATCCTTATTAGTTAGTAGTAGATAATTTTCATCCTTTTAAGTTTCCAAAGCTGCATCACGGAAAATTTCCCAAGTTCATTACATTATACTTTTGCTTACATTACGCAATAATTGTAGAGTATAATTTATAGAGTATATATATAGTACTCAGGTTAAATATATCAACAACTATTCTATGCGAAAAATATGAAATATGAGTTTAAATACCCGGTTAAAAATTAACCGTAGTGGTTATGCATTGCACATATATTTGGCGATATGCACCTAAATTGCTCTTGACAAGTTTGGACTAATCAAAACTTATTCTCCTATCTATTGTGTGTTTCTCGTTTTCCGAGTTGCTTAGACGTTGTTGAGTTAAAGAAAATCTCGTTTGGCTCAACTCTTCACATGTGTTATTGGAAATAATATATGAGAAAGAAGTTATTTTCAAATAATAAGAGATAAAAGCTATTTCATTAAAAAATACTTGTTTTGAGTTATTTGTAAATAACACACTTACAAAATAATTCATTTCAATAAAGTGTTGTCAAACGAGTTATTTTGGCCCAATAACTCATTTGGGCCAAAATAGCTCACCTAAAAGGCTCTTCCAGACTACCCACATGACTAATGAGAAATGAAATTTCAGCTAGGGATGGCAATGGGTCGGATCGAACGCGGATAGTGCATATCCGTTACCCTACTCATAATAGTTCGGGTTTTATGTATATCCATACCCACATGTGAAATGGGTATAAAATCAAAACCATGGCCATACCCGTTCGGGTTTCGGGTATCCACGGTTATCCATGTGTAATAATTTTCTTCATAACTCCAACAAATATGTAAACATTCACACGTATTCTCACATTACGAAAGAGGAAAAGTACGACAATAATTCAATAGAATGAAGAAAATTAATTAAAACCACACAATTTCATAAAAATATTATATTCATATACTAAATATAAAATATGTTAGAGAAAATAATGATTATTTCTAGACAAAATACATATTCATGTGTATAATCGGGCGGGTTCGGGTTGGATAGTGAGAAACCCATGCCCACCCATTACCCGCAATATTCGGCCTCGAATTTTACCCATACCCACTAAATATCCTTCGGGTTCGGGTTTTACCCTAACTGATTAGGCCGGATTCAGGCGGATATCCACGATTATAAGTATTTTTGCCATCCCTAATTTCAGCATTAATTTAGAACAACATTTACTTTAATTTATCCACTTTCCTCAGATTTTGAATGTTTCCCGATTAAAATTTTATCTTGGTAGAGACCGATATGTAAAGACGAGATCTACGTGAAAATATGGTCAATAAGCCATTTCTTCTTGAATTTTTACTTAAAATACTATTTTGGCCTCAATTTTCAAAGATGATATAAATTATTTTCATTTTATAAAGATTGGACAATTTTGGTTGCATATAGTAGAAATTTCATGATTTTGGTAGTGATTTTGTGATTTTTAATTAGCGGTAATTGATGATTTTTAGTAAGAACCACTGTCGTTTTATAAAAAACTAGATTAGTAATGACCATTACTGAAATATATTGGAAAGATAATCATACGCAAATACTACTACTATAACTATGCGAAGTACTACTAATAATTAACGAAAATATATTCCATTACAATAAGAATCACTTCTTAATTAAAACTCTTGGGAAACACTTCTAGCCTGCAAACACTGATAATGAAAAAACTCCATCGTACACAATTCTACTATTTCTTTATTCCTGTTTATGATAGCTCAGTTCATAAAAAAATGAGAGTTGGACCCCTCGTAATCAGGGGCGGACCCACGGTGGTTTAGGGGTGTCCCTGGACACTCCTAAATTTTGGGAAAACGATTATCCAACCCCGGTGGTAATTTACGTATGGACAAAAAAAATATAATTGATAGTGAGGGACACCCATTAAATTTGAAAAAATGAT